GGGGGGGGGGGGAGCCCAGCGCTCATCCCCGCGCGAGACGCCGGCTGCGGCTGCTGCGGCGGCTGCTGCTGGTCATCGGAGAGTTGCTGCTGCTGCTGATCGTCTGGGGACGACGTCGGCGTCGGTAGCGCCACCGACGTCGACTCAGAGGACGACGGTAGCGGAGAGACGGCGGCAACCGCGACTCTACCTCTCCGCCGCAGCACCGCCTTCGCTTTCATCGCTCGCCGTCTTTCGCCGCTCTCGGCAAGACCTCCCCCCCCCGAGGCACTCACAAACCCGACTCCCGCACCGCGCGCCACAAAACACTCACCGCTGCCGCGGTTCCCCATTGCCCTGCGCTTGGTGATTTGATTGGCGGCGTGTTCGGCCCTTCCCCCTCCCCGGTGACGAAATCCAGCGGTGGACGATGGCACGCGCGTCGGCGTGGCCGCGGAGGGTATCCCGGGGGAGCGGCGGCTCGCTAGGGCGAAGTCGCCCATGGCCAGGAGGCTCAGGCCCACGCGTACAACACCGAGCTTAGCGCCACCACCACCGCCGCCGCTGGTGTTACCACATGCCGCGGGAAAAGGCGGAGAATCATTGGCGCGACGTCCGCGGCCTTCGTTGCACCGAGCGGAAGACATCCTGCGGGCAACAGGGTTACCTCTAGCTGTTGCTGACGACGCCATCGCTGCCGCTGCGGGTGGCCAGCTGGTCGTTATCGTGAGACAGACCGGGGATTTCCGCAACCCTCCGTTGCCTGGGCATCGACGGATTGAAGTTTTCGTCGGACAAGGGGGAACGTTTGAAAAAATTGTCACGCATAAAACAGAGTGGGGTAGGACTATGATGCCTACTTGAAGCATATTCCATTTTCCGGCAGGATATGCAGCCAAAGGACGCCTGCGATGTAGCAGACGTGCAAGGGCCGACGGGTGCACGCCGTTGGTTCCCGGCTACGAATGTTATCTGCTGCGAGGGCCCCTCAAAGACGCCGGTGTGTGCCCGGCGCATCGACCGGCGCCATTCAATGTACAGAACTACTCGGTGATTCATGTCTGTGCCCAGCAATTTCACCGGCGCTTGTACATACAGGGCCACCGTGGCAACCGGCATTGTTGACGCGCCGCCTCCGTATCCCGTTTACCGGCCGGCCGGCCGGCTAGCCCGGACGCCACGGAATACAACAGTGCCAAAAGAAAACGTAGCTGCTTGGCATTCGTCACCGTAGGTATCGCCCGAGGACCTCTCCGATCAGGGCGGCCGCCTTTTATGTAGGGTCCCCGCAGACGGCGGTCAGAACACGGCGGTTGTTGCCCGATGCATGCTACATACGGCGGCCGAGAGCTCTTGGCACATCAAGTGGACTGATACATTGTAATAAGACGGTTGCCCTCATACATACAGCGGATATTATCAGCTGCCCACCGCCTTGTTCGGGGTAATAAGACGGTTGCCCTCATACATACAGCGGATATTATCAGCTGCCCACCGCCTTGTTCGGGGACCCCTACTTCTAACTGTATGCGTAACTGCTCGCCAGTGGCGACCGTCCTCACAAAAGGGGGCCCGTACGCCAAGTAGCGTCAACTGGAAGAGCAGCATAGGCTGCTACAGCGGATGCGTCACAACAAGCACCTTCCGACGGGACGCCCGGTGCTGCTGCTGCTGTTGATGTTCTTTTGACGCACACCAGCACATCGAACCTCTTGTCATGCAAGCTACGGAGTGTTTTGACTTCAGCGTCGGCACGAACATGCGGGTCGGACGGACCCTCATGAGTCAATTCAACAATAAATGCCTTTCTCGTAGACCTCATGTGATAGTTTGGAAACACGGCTTCAACAACACGATTTGCCACCAGTAACTGCTGCATCACGTCATGCCGCAAAAGGAACTGTACTGTTTCGTGACATCTAACCAATAACCAGTCGTGGCTAAACTTCGACCGTTCAAGTATGCGTACGTTCCGCAGCCCCTCAGTTGAACTCCTCTAGTCTAAGCCTGTAGCATACATCAGCCACAAACGAGCGACCTGTGCGAACGGGCGGCTCCTGTTAAATACGTCACGCACAATTGTGCATTCAAAATGAGGCCTTGCCGCTCTCAATTCCTCGACAGGACACCAAGCATCTGGATCTATTCAACCAAGCTATTTATGCTTCGACTACTCCATGACCTCGAGTGCCAAGCTTTGCAGGCACATACCTCTCATGCACGCAAACGTCAGCGAGCAGCACACGACATCCTGCCAAGGTGGCAACACTGGTACCCTACTGCCGCAACAGTTTCCTAAACAACGGCATCACCTGAACAGAGCGATCCTTGATCTCCACGCCCACGAGAGCGGCAGGGGGTTTTCCTCTCCACCCAAGGCTGCTGGTGTAAACCCTCGGCCTCGAAGCTCGCTCACTACCTCTGGGGCATGCTCTCGGGGGTGCTGCAGAAAATGTAGCAGCCCCTGTTACGTGGTTTCGCCGCACCCCCATACCTATGCTTGCTGCGTCCCAGTTTGCGAGCACCCCGGACATCTTCGTTTTTTTTGGCAGTTGGAGTGTAAAGCAGCAGTCAAGCCGCCTGGCCAGCACGACCCTGGGTGCGAGAGCTGAGCTACACAGAGACAGCAACGGTTGCTTGAAAAAGAGCGACGGGCTGTTGCTTTACCCCGCCCACGATCTCGCTTTTACTGTGCCTGCTACCAAGGTAAAGACGTGTGCTGGTGTGCATGTTCAACTTTGACAAACAGCAGTACTGTAGTGGTCCCAATATAGTTGGCACCCTGAATACAGATGGCGCCCTCTAGTTTCGGCCGAGGCTGGGGTTCTTATGGTGCTGATCATCCTCTTGTGGGCTACAAATGCCCGTTATATAGGTTTTAGTCTGGGGTTCTTAACCGAGCTCACACATGGTGCTCAATTTCTTAACTGCTAAGTTCTCAAGTGCGGGGGCTATTTGTAGTGAAATGCCCGATATAGCGGCATCAAGAAATCAATATTCCTTGTCACGATTTCAACCCGCGTTGTTCCCCTATTGAGAACGAGGCCCTCAATAGTAGCATTTTGGACATCTCAACACCCCAATGGTGACAATTCAAAAGGTCGGAGCCTCCCTGTATTTCACGGCACGCACCACACACAAACTCGTGTACAAGGTAGCAGCCTTGGTAGACGCGTGCAGTTTCCTTGTGTTGCTACAAATGTACCACGCCGTTCCTACTGTTTCTAATCCGGAAAATAGCGTAGCCTTCCCTATGCCGCCCCCTCACGGGGTCCCAGTCAATGACATTTACAAGCGCTTGTGTTTTCAACCGCACTGAGACGGACGTCTTTTCGTTGGTCAGCCGGTTGGTGCGGTCGATGCTAATATAGTAGGGGGCCCTCAGTAGTGCCGGTACGTGCCAGACCAGAATACCGGCACTATTCAGAGGGACCGGCACTATTCAGGATCGAGGAATATAAAGTCCTTAATAGTATACCAGCTCAAATCCGTGTCAGTAGATTTTATCGGCACTATACCGGGCACCGGCATTTTTCAATCGGCAGTACTGAGGGCCCCCTAGTGAAATAATAAAAAAACACACACACAACACTCACAGCAGCGGGCGCCACGCCACATGCATCATGCCGGCATGCGCGAGCTATGTAGAGCTGAACAAAACCGAAAATTCTGATGAAGGGGATGGAGGGATGAAGGCGCCGCCATCGTTCGCGAAACTTTCTGCGCTTTTTGGTCCTCTAGACTAGAAGAAGAGTATCCGGAGTTGTGTGGCATTGGCGAGAGAGGCCGGGCATTTCCTCCGTGAGGCAATGTTAGTATGTCCCCGTGACCACCCACGGAGGTGGCCCTGCCCACCCACGGAGGATACCGTGCCCACCCACGGAATGATGTCTTTCTGGGAACTGCGTTAACCCAGGGACCGATGCAGATGGTGTATAACCTTGATTGACACACACACGTGCTCTTCCAGCACGGCATACGAAGTATAAAGCAGTGAACACCTGCGCGGACTCTCACAAAGGGCCCTGGCCCTGCCCACCCACGGAGGATACCGTGCCCACCCACGGTATGATGTCTGTCTGGGGACTACGTTGACTCAGGAACCGATGCAGATGGTGTATAACCTTGATTAACACACACACGTGCTCTTCCAGCACGGCATACGAAGTTGTTGTTGTTGTTGTTGTTGTTGTTGTTTTTCACATTACAGTAGCTCTATAGTCTACAAAAAATGGGGAGCCCGTGGTCTCAAAACCCGGCACATACGACGCCGCGGGAAAAAAAAAAATCAAAAATAGGGCACAGACCACTCGGAAGAGAATAAAGCAGTGAACACATGCGCGGGCTCTCACGAAGGGCCCCGCAATTGGACTCCCAACAGTATACCCCCCACACACATATACTCTCCAGATCGGATCTTGCATCCACGTACCCCAAACAGGCAAAGATGGCATTCTTCGCAGCACATGCCGCTAGTCCGGCACGGCACTTGGACATCAGTGCCTTTACCCAGTCAAAGTATAGTGGTGGCATTGGTCGGTTGACGCCTGTTGGTGCAAAATGTTGTAACGGTTGGGATTGATGCGCCGGAGTGGGGAGTGTTTGGCGTTTTCAACGTGCTTGCTCCAGTTGGTTTCGCGTACGTTGATGTTTTCAAGTGTGTTTTGATTGTGTTGAACCCCATCATGGATCGCTGGACAACAAATAAATCATGTTACTTTGTTTCTGTAGCCGCCTGCACACAAACGTAGGTTGCGACCGCCGAGGGCCTCGTTGTCACCAGTACGATCAAAGTGTCAATGCACACGTGATGGGCAGACACCTGCGTTTTCACGCGGATACTGGTGCACACAGCAAAGGAGGGACCTTGTAGATATATACAACGTACGAGTGAAGATCCAACGAACAAATATCCGTAGCGCAATTTTCAGAGCTGATTCACTTCAAGAGTGGAAATAATGCCACTATCCTGGACCCCTCCTTGTCCACCCTCAGCGCCGACAAGCAGCTGTGAGAGAGATAGATGTCGAGATAGAAGTATTGCGTAGATGAAAAGAGTAGGGACAGAGGAGACATGCAAGGGCGGTGGGAAACAGACAGACACGAGAGAGACGGCGAATCTGTGTGTCTAGTTTTCTTATCGTTGAGAGGATGGAGCGTTTTTCGTGCATTCACAGAGTGATTTTTGTTTTTGTGTTTTCTTCAAGAAAAATGGCTGTGTTCGACAAAAACGTACTTGCCGTGCAGACACGCATACACACACAACAATTGGCGTCTTGTGAGGAGCAGCTATCGGTGCTCGTCACCAATGAGCACAATCAGGCGTTGTAGGGATGCTAGGTCTATGGTCTAACGACTACGACTGCTACGACATGCGTGTACACGAGTGCACACACACACACACACACACTCTGTCCCCCCGGACGGTGCCCCCTGTTTTTTTTTCGACGATACCGTGTGGCCGTACCAGAGACAAAACCGGAGCGGGTTACGGATCAACACCTCGTTTTCCGGTGACGAGTCGGCGGGAGAAAGGCGGGAAAGCAGCAGCAGCAGTAGCAGCAACAGGCCTTCGACCGATCGCTTCTGGCGCCGTCGCCCACCGCCGAGAGTCGGAAGCTCAGCAAGGCGGCAGTCGAGTCTCGCGCGGGGGGGGCATGGGTGCAGGTGGAGCTTCCGCCGGGTGCCGTCCCTGCTGCTGCTCCTGCTGCTCCTGCTGCTCCTGCTGGAAGCGGCGGCAAACAGAACGTAAGCATTTGTATTCTGTGTCTTTGTGTTGTGTGCTTCTTTCAATTGTGGACTGTGTATGTGGTCGTGCTGTATGCTTCTTTGAAATCGATACCTTGTCGTGTTGTGTGCTTCTTTTTATTGTGAATCGGCGGCGCTAGCCTAGCCTAACCTAACCTAACCTAACCAGTGTACTCGGTGGTGTGTTGGATTTTGGGTGCGCTTCAAGCCACTGTTGCTTGTGCGTTTTTGTGTTTTGACACATCGGTGTGGTACGCCCCAATGCAGGCGGAGCATGCTCGTAATGGCGGCGGCGGCGGCAGCGACTTCGCGTGGAGTACAGTCGGTGCTTTTCCTTTCGGACAAGTGGTGAGCATTTGTCAAGCTGGCAGCGTTCATCCGCGAACAGCGCTCTTTCGTGTGCCAGTACGTACAGCAGGTTTCTTTCTCCTTTCGTCGTACGTTTTTTTTTTTTTTACGCATAGATGTATGCATGACGTGATCGCCACTCAGAGATGCAGTCGACCTGCGAAAGTCGGTGAAAATCAATTCACTCTCCAGCAAGAACTCTACTTTTGTTCTGCAGACACTTCAAATCCTAGAATCATATGTCTCGATGAAGTGTTTCCGCGACGAATTTTTAGCTACTGTGCTACAAATACCTCTAGCTGATCCAAAAATATTCACGTCCTTTATGCGTTGCGCGCGCATAAAAGGAGACGAGCAAGCTCCGATTCCTGTCAAGTGTAGATGACCATGTTTCTCATACCCTCCGCGTTTAGGTTCATTGCGTGCTTCCATGACTTCGATCTTCGTGAGGACATAATCCCCCCACTTCCCGCCCTACTGCTGTACAAGCGGGACGTTGTGGTTTCGCGGAGACAACGGCGCGAAGTATTCTCCGCCTAGCCCCCGTGAGGTTCACCTCAGCCAACCTTCCATCGCTGCATGGACACCCCCCGCCCGGCGCCTTGAATGTCATTGCAGATACCGAGCTGTCAACAACAAATACCCCCTCCCCTCCACCGCTCGATTGAGCAGGACATGCCTCCGACTCCATCGAAACCGATGTCCCCTCTCATTCAGCCGCAAACGGCATCGAGCTTCCCGGTGGGGAACCCCGGCGGCGGCGGCGGCACCAGCGGCGGCGGCGTGGGCTTTCGAGCAACAGCAGACGGGGAGGGGG